CATCATCTGGATCAAAACCCCTCCCCCAGCGTCGGATGCAGAGAGTTCTGTCGTCTGCCTCCCGAACTTCCGCATCCTCGGATGCGCCAGCTTCGGCCTGGCACCAGGCATAGGCCGGAGACGTGCAGGACATCTCGGCGGCTATCGCTAGTTGGACATTTTCGAACATTGGCGGGAGTAACCCTTTTGGCAGTTCCAATAAGAAATAAAAACTCGAACCAGACTCGTCGAGTCTTTTGGGGCACCCATCGGGGCCTCATGAAGGCCGAGCCGCTTTCCAAGTTGCCGGAACCGCTCCATCCTGATTAGAAACAGCCACTCTCTGAGTCTCTTGCACAAGAGGAGCCACGCTGCCACGTTGCGTCCAACAAGCGAGAGAGACTTGCAGCTGAAAGCGGGCCGCAGATCAACGGAGGGTAGGGATACAGAAAGGCGACTCCGTTGGCATCCCGACACATTGGATGCTGCGCATTCCTCACGCAACTTCCCAGAACGGCTCCATGTGTAGCTCTGTACCCCTTTAGATCGTTTAGGAACTGAAAGTAGGTATGTACTTCGACTCAACAGGGGCATCCCCTCAATTTGAGGCAACAAGGCTTCCCCCAAAGCGCACCTGAAGAGTGCTTGGGCTTTTTTTCCCAACAGCCATCTACTGCTCTGGAAGCTACGCACCGGGCTGCGGGCATTGGCACCAGCGGAGCCTTCGCCACCTTGGCCCGAAGAAGGCGCAAGGCTGGAGACAGAGGCTTCGCCGACTTCGCCGTTCCCCAAACTGGTCTCTTTGAAGGCTTTGCAAAGGGCGGCAAGGGAAGGTATCTTGCAACATGTCTAGCGGCCTCCTCCAACTCTTTCCGCGTGGGGATGGAGAGCCTCGCAAAGCTGGTCAACAGGCGCACGCCTCAGTCCAGGCTTCGAAGCTTCCCCCAAAGGTCTGCGCTGACAGCTCTGAGCGCAAGGCCGATGGAGTGAGAGGCCACCGAGGCGTGCATGGAGAGCCACCTCCAGTGCTTTCTCAAGTACCCTCCGACGGCTCCATTGGACACACAGAGTTGCCCTCCAAGTCCTCGACACCGAGAAGATCAGGAACCCGCAGGCGCCTGGGCAAGGACCCGAAAGAACAGGCAGGGCCAGAAAAAAGGCGACAAAGAGTTGGAGGCTTCCAGCAAGGCCCTGGCTGAGATTGGAGATGAGAAAGAAGACCTGGGAGCTTCAATCCGCAGACTCAGAAGATGGGTTGCATCATGGAGACCATGAAGTAGAACCCTTTATGGCAGGGCGCTGCCCCTTGCTTGCACAACCCGGCGGCCAAGGGGCTACCAGGAAGGCTTTGGTTTGGCTCTCCCCAGCTTCCTTAAGTGTCGCGTGCTTAAAAAAAAGAGCCGGGAAGGTTGGAAGGAGCGGAGTTTGTTGCCATCTGCTGCAACATCTCCCAAGCATCTCATGTGACGTGCGATGGGCAGTTCAAGCTGAGGCTGCGAACCTCCAGCATCTGGTTTTCGCAGTAGAAGTGGATGCAAAACCTGACATCTTTGCACGGACCACGCGCGGCCGGGCCGGCTACCAGCAAGAACAAGACCAGGACTCTAACAAACACTATCTGTTGGATCCGGCCCCCGCCCAGTAACAGTGAGCACAAACAGACCCACAATAAAAAGCACGAGGAAACTGAAACATGTTCGTGATAAATATGATCATAAGACCATGACCATCACAGGAGTCCTGTCTAAAGAGGCCCAAGGCAATAACAATCCTGGAAAACCTATGCCCTAAACAAACTCTACTCAAAAACCTCTCTAAGCGCCAACGGCTTAGCCCGTGATGGCTCACACCCCCGACTTTCAAACCCCCATCCCTAATAGCTAAAACCGTATCAAAACCTCTAAACCTCAGGCGTAAACCCCAAACATCTGAATCCCTAAGCCCTTCAATCAAGGCCGGGCTCCTGCCACCAAACCCGATTGCCAAAAGCATTCACGCTGCTAAGCCTACGCCGTATTATTCCATGTCTCAAGGCACATGAGACTTCGATGTTGAGCAAACGTGAACAATCCTGGACAATATAGAGGCAAGGCAAGGGTCACGGAGGGGTGAAAGGCACGCGCGTGCACGCGCGTGCGCGCGATTGCTTGTTTTTTCTAAAGTTCGAGGGCCCGTATACATTGCGAAAGTTTCAAGCCCGGCCATTAGACAGAGCTCCAAGAGCCTCCACCACGGGAGGTCTGAGGCCAAGGCTGGGACCCTCGGACCCGGGGGCCAGGTGGCTCTCATAGAGGAATTAGAAGGGAAAGCCTTTTGCCTCCTGTTTCTGAATTTATGATCATGTTTTAATGGTGTTTTTTGTGCTTTGTTTGTGGTTTTTTTGACGCGTTTGTGCTTCTTTTTTTTTTTGGTGCTTTTCTGGTGCTTTTTTTGTGCTGTGTGTTTTCATGTTTGTGCTTTTTTTTGTGCTTTTCTGGTGCTATTTTTGCGCTGTGTGTTTCTATGTTTGTGTTTTTTTTGTGCTTTTCTGGTGCTTTTTTTGTGCTGTGTGTTTTCATGTTTGTGCTTTTTTTTTGTGCTCTCTTGAATTAAAAACCAAAGCGCCGGGTCACGAGCAGCCGTAATTTTCGGAAATTCTGATGTGTTTGTGCTTTTTCTGGTGCTTTTTTTGACGTGTTTGTGCTTTTTTTTTTTTGCTTTTCTGGTGCTTTTTTTGTGCTGTGTGTTTTCATGTTTGTGGTTTTTTTTTGTGGTGGTCTGTTGTGCTTTTCTGGTGCTTTTTTTGTCCTGTGTGTTTTCATGTTTGTGCTTTCTGGTGCTATTTTTGCGCTGTGTGTTTCTATGTTTGTGCTTTTTTTTGTGGTCGTATGTTTTCAAAATCGTCCGCGGCGCGTCCAATTTCGCCACGGAAAACAGCGACGTGTTTCTAGTTCCAGCTTCCAGGAACTGAGGGACTTGGCTGGATGCCAAGTCCCTCAGAACAAACTGCGATGAACCACTCTGGAGCCACGGTAGCAACACGAGTTGCTGAGCTCCGCGGGCTAGCCTGCCAACACGTGTCCCGTGTGTTCACAGGCAGCACTTTTAAACAGCAATGGGCAGACTGGACGGATCACTTCGTAATGAAGCCCTGGGCACGGAACAAGGGCTTGGCCTACGGTGTACGGTGTACGGCATACGGCGCGCGTATTTCGGGAACAACGGGATCACGCACGTCATTGAACCTAAAAGCTCCAGGCTACACATTTGGACCTTGGGGAGGTAACCATCGATTTTCCCTGGCAGGCTCACCTCATCCCACCCTCATCAGGTTAATCCCCATCGAGCCTGCTCCCTTGCTGAGTTCTTCGTGCCCAAACTATTTTTTTCTCTCCTCAAGCAACCTGGATTTAGTTTGGATTTCTGGTCCTTCCCCCACATCTCAAACAGAAAATAATTCATAAACTAGTTTTTGTTCCTCCCTTTCCCACCCCAAACTGAGTATGGATTTCGGCCCAAACCTCCCATTCCATCCTGAAATGAGTTTGGATTCTCTGGTGCTTTTTATGGGCTGTGTGTCACATACAAAACGGAGTTTTGAACTGTTACTGGGAGGGGGCCGGACCTAAACTATCTGCAAGATGAACCCTACTAAGCCAAATGCACTCAAAAACCCTCAGCCTTAGGTGCAACCCTCAGACACTCAGACGGGTGCTCCAGGAGCAGAGCGCCGACCAGATGATAAACATCCATCCCTTGGAGCGACGCTGAAGAGCAGATTCTTGACAGGAGAGCTTCGCTTAAGAAGTGCCCCCTCCTCCCCCCCCCCCCCCTCAGGGCCCATATCCAGGGCCAGGACGTCCGACGGTAAGCTCCACCAAGTCTCGCAAGTCCTCGGGCCCAGAGCTGAGAGGGGGCTGCGCAGATGAGACAGAACGAAATGTCGCCTCCGGCTCTAAGCCATCCTCTGTTTCGCCCCCCTCCCCCCAACCCCTTCCATGCTGTGCAGTGCCTCGCGGAAAAGCTTCTGCTGCTCGATGTTCCTTGGGATGCAGTCTGAAAAGTCTCTCTCAAAGTCGCTCACTGGGATGCTGCTCGCTGTTTGACTGCTCTCGCCTTTTAAGGCTCTCTTCAAGCGCTCGGTCCATTTGTACAGGTCATGTCAACTTTGATTAACTGTAGTGTAAGTGCTGATTCACTTGTATCAAAATCTCTGCCAGCTTGCACCACTGTGTTCTCAGGGACACAGCCCTGACCTCAACTCGTCTACGTGCTGCTGCGGCTCATCTCGTACTCTGCGAGCCTCGTCCAAACAGGACAAAGCGAAAGTGGAACGGCCAAAGGCATCGCGATCCAACAAGGCAACACGGAGGCCATCGGACCTTCGGTGGAAGTTCTGCTCAGCCGAAACCACCTGCCCGTGTTTCAGCTGCTGGGGCTTCCTGGGGCTTCGGGGTGTATAGGCTTGCTTAGCTTAGAGACCGCCGCACGTCTGGGCTGAAGCAGCTTTCAGGACTGCTGGGGCCTGGCCCTCCACAAAGAGCTCCGGAAAGGCATCTTTCACGAAGCCACCTCAAGGGGCGATGCCGCCTAAACTCCACACCCTGAACTGCCGCTCAAGCTGAGGCCAGGGCTGAGGATCTCGGTCATGGCTCGTAGAAGGCTGAGACCCGATGTGTTGGATGCTCTGTTCGCTAGCGGAGGGGTCTTCGGTGAGAGGTCGACCCTGAATCTGTGCACGATGCTGGTAACTTCCATGGCGCTGTCTAGTAGCATGTAGCTGCTATAGCTTTGGTTCAAGGTAGAGTCTGCCTTGCGTGGGATCTTCGGGTTGAAGCGCGTGGCCCAAAACCATCAGGTGGCTCGGCAGATTGCGGCGGGACACGCTTGCTCTAGCTGCGACCAGCGCATGAAAAGACACACTGCGCCTCAACGCAAAGTAACATTGCTCTGTAACATTTGCTACTACGAAGCTTTGCTGCGCCATGCTGCGCGAAACAGGCTGCCCTCGTCCCTCCTGTCAAGACACATTTCGATATGGCCTCCGTCGGGGCCTTGATCTGGATCTTCCAGTCGACGCTCGAGGGCCTCTGCTTCGGAGACATTGCAGCGATCCCATGGGTTTCAATGGGGACGAACGAGTCTCTGGCATCCAAAAAAAAGGATGCCTGAATTCTTCCTTTTTCTCCGAAAGATTTTCTGACGTCTTCGGGGTTCCGGTTTGGACAGTGGCAAGGGGCGCCAATGTCTTCAAACTCCCACCATGGTCCGCTAGGCGGTGCCGTCTAACGCGACTTTCGTGGAGAGATGCTGCTGTACGGAACAGCAAAGGTCAAACAGGTGCGAGAGGCGCTGAAGCTCCTGTGACCTTGATGGTCGTGAGCCTATACAGCCCACCAGGCAATCCATGAGTGACCTTCCTTTCAAAGCCCCCGCCTCCTGTAGGCCTTCTGCAAAGTCTTCCGGAACTGCGAGGAGCGAAGTGCCTCACAGCTGGCAGCCCAACGGCTGCGTGTACTACCAGCATCGGCTGGCTGGCATTCGCCTGAGGTGCCGGCCGGTGTCTACAACTGCCCGGCACTGGCCATCAGCGCAATAGTCTAAGATCCTCGTGCCACGGGCTCAGCGAGCTTTGGGCTCACTTGTGTCGGGCCAGTTCCAGAGACCTTCAAAGTTAGCGCGAGCCTGTCGCCAATGCGGATGGCCTTGATTTCGACCTGGCAGTGCGGGTGATTATCAGCGTCAAACATGAAAATCGCTGATTGGGAGTTGCTTTCTCGACTGCCTGCCAGTAGCCCAGGTCCGGCAGGGCCACGGGCGCCCAAGTCATGGGAGAGGCCACTTTGTCCTCCAGAACCCGTGGAGACCCCGAAGAAAAAATGCTTGGGTTCAGCGAGGCTTCTCATGAGGGCCTCCGAGGAGCCACCAAAGGAGATCTCACTGACCTCCGCGTCGGTGTCTGCCAAGAACACGCCTTCCAAGGCGGGGGGACTCAGCTGACACGGGAGCTACAGGGAGTGAACTTGACGAAGCACCCGGGCCGAGAACCTTCTGTGACACTCCTGAACCCTGACACTACTTGTCGGCTTTGGTCCACCAACTGTCCATGTGTGCACCAACTGTCCATGTGTGAAAGGGCCGGATACCTGAATCTGGGGTAGGTCAACGGCTTGTCGACATTAGGGATCCAAAAACTAGATCAGCACCCCCCCTCCCCCCCTACGATGCGCAGAGCTCCCGACCGAAGCTGCGATGCTCCAGGGTCACCTGCTTGGCCATCATCCCGAAGAAGCTAAACCTGGCGGAAGAGAGCGGGTGAGGTCTGTTTTGTGTTTTTTTTTTTTGGGGGGGGGGGGGGGGGGGGGGGGTTCTCCGAAATCAGCTCCTTATTGCGGGCTCAGAGAGCTTGGAAAGCTGGCCAGGAATGCTCCGGTGCCAATGCCAGGCTGTCCAACCTCAGGGCATGGCGCGTTGTGTGCAGTTTGCAAGCTCTGAGGCACGTGGTTCTTTATGCAGGGCTGGATGCAACGGGAATGTATGTTCGGTCATATTAAGCGATCTTCGAAGCTCCTTTGTATGATGGGCTTTAGGGCGAAGGATGGCGAAGGGCTTCCGAGAGGTGGCCGTTGGGCTGGCAAACGTTGTTACTAGTTGTTACTACCCTCCTCTCCCTCCATCCCCCTAAAGCAGACACATGTTCCGTTGTGAAAACAACTCCTAGGTCAGAACTGTGCTGCAAACCTCGCTTTCGATTGCTGAGTCTTTACAGCTCGCAGCTGCAAGTTCTGGATCTTACACATTTACCTTGCTGGCGGCCGGCTGAGCGAGCCAACGACGGATCGCCGCACCCTTTTTGGGGCGAAGTCAAAGCCGCCGACGCCACGCTCTTCTTCAAACACTTGGGCGAGGGCGCCGCTCGCTCCACGACTTGGAGAGCATTGAGGTGTACGAGGCTTGCTCTTCTCCTTCGAGAGCCCCCGCTTCCTTGCAAGCCCGGTGCTGTCCAAGCCGATCCCACAGGGCTCACAGTCCATGAAGCCATGTCGCATGCGGTGTCCGCAGCATCTTCCCGGACGTGTGACGCCCTCTTCTTCACGGCGCGAGCTCCTGCTGGAGCACGTCTGCAAGTTGGCCAAGGCACGCCTCAGATGGCAACCTATAAGACGGATGGTGAAATCAAAGCTTTGACAAGCAGTGACAAAAAAAGTGATGCCAGGCTCAGGTTCATCTCCGAGGAACCTCGAGGCGATTCCAACAGCGGTGCTGCTCCCACAGGAGGCCGGCTGTGTTGAAGCCTCGGCGGGTCGGCTCAGGGAATCCCGGCAGTCCCATCACATGGGAATTCTCTGACCCTTTTAGACGTATATAAATATCATATCTGTGTATGTAAACTTATGTATACACATAGATATATATGTATATATATATATGTGAGAGAGCCCTTTCGGGTCTATTTTGCGTATCCTCTTGCTTGCCTTCTATTTAATTAATTTAGTTAATTTAATTAATTTAATTAATTGAATTAATGGAAATAATCGAAATCAACAAATTTCTTTTGCGAATTCAATTAATTGAATTAATTGAATTAATTTAATTAATTTAAATAATTCAAATAATTGAATTCGAAAAACCTCTTTCGCTAATTCAATTAACTCAATTAATTCAATTAATTCAATTAATTGGATTAATTGAATTAATTGAATTCGAAAAGCCTCTTTCGCTAATTCAATTAATTCAATTAATTCAATTATCTATTTTTTTTTGAAAACAAAGATTTTCCCCCTATTGAATTAATTCAATACGCGGGAAATCCGGATTTCGATTAGGGAACCCCACATAATTGAATTAATTGAATTAATTGAATTCGAAAAACCTCTTTCGCTAATTCAATTAATTCAATTAATTCAATTAATTCAATTAATTGGATTACTTGAATTAATTGAATTCGAAAAAGCCTCTTTCGCTAATTCAATTAATTCAATTAATTCAATTATCTATTTCTTTTTTTCAAAACAAAGATTTCCCCCCTATTGAATTAATTCAATTAATTCAATTAATTCAATTAATTCAATTAATTCAATTAATTCAATTAATTGAATTAATTGAATTAATTGAATTCGAAAAGCCTCCTTCGCTAATTCAATTAAATTCAATTAATTGAATTAATTGAATTAATTGAATTAATTGAATTAATTGAATTAATTGAATTAATTCGAAATAATTTCAACTAATTAATTAATTAATTAATTAATTACCTCTTTCCTAAAATAATCAATTAATTGGAATTAATTGAATTAATTGAATTCGAAAAAGCCTCTTTCGCTAATTCAATTAATTCAATTAATTCAATTATCTATTTCTTTTTTCAAAACAAAGATTTCCCCTCTATTGAATTAATTCAATTAATTCAATTAATTCAATTAATTGAATTAATTGAATTAATTGAATTCGAAAAGCCTCCTTCGCTAATTCAAGTAATTCAATTAATTCAATTAATTGAATTAATTGAATTAATTGAATTAATTGAATTAATTGAATTAATTCAATACGCGGGAAATCCGGATTTCGATTAGGGAACCCCACATAATTGAATTAATTGCATTAATTGAATTCGAAAAACCTCTTTCGCTAATTCAATTAATTCAATTAATTCAATTAATTGGATTAATTGAATTAATTGAATTCGAAAAAGCCTCTTTCGCTAATTCAATTAATTCAATTAATTCAATTATCTATTTCTTTTTTTCAAAACAAAGATTTCCCCCCTATTGAATTAATTCAATTAATTCAATTAATTCAATTAATTCAATTAATTCAATTAATTCAATTAATTGAATTAATTGAATTAATTGAATTCGAAAAGCCTCCTTCGCTAATTCAATTAATTCAATTGTTCAATTAATTCAATTAATTGAATTAATTGAATTAATTGAATTAAGTGAATTAGTTGAATTAATTGAATTAATACAATACGCGGGAAATCCGGATTTCGATTAGGGAACCCCACATAATTGAATTAATTGAAATAATTGAATTCGAAAAACCTCTTTCGCTAATTCAACTAATTCAATTAATTCAATTAATTCAATTAATTGGATTAATTGAATTAATTGAATTAATTAGATTAATTAAATTAATTAAAGGGTCCATAATCTGAGTTATCATAATTATGATAACTTTAGGTTCCCAAACCTGAGTTATCATGATTATGATAACCTTAGGTTCCCAAACCTGAGTCATCATAATTATGATAACTTTAAGGTCCCCAGTCTGAGTTATCATGATTATGATAACCTTAGGTTCCCAAGCCTGAGTTATCATAATTATGATAACTTTAGGTTCCCAAACCTGAGTTATCATGATTATGATAACCTTAGGTTCCCAAACCTGAGTTATCATAATTATGATAACTTTAGGTTCCCAAACCTGAGTTATCATAATTATGATAACTTTAGAGTCACCAACTGGAGTTATCATAATTATGATAACTCCTTAGGGTCCCACCCCTGAGTTATCATAATTATGATAACTTTTAATTCGCAGCTTCACCTTAAGAGAGAGGTGCGCGAATAGGGGGGTGTAATATTAAGCGATTGTGTGCTACAATATGGAGTAGAGGAGGTGTGAGCAGGTAGGTGTGCGGGACGATGGAATAAGACTGGTGAGTAGAATGATGAAGCGTTGAGCTCAAAATCTTAAGGACCATGGCTTGTGATTTGACTCCTTGCATCAAAAAAAGAGCCTAAAAACTTAAGGACCAAAGCTTGCGGTTTAACTATTCTGGGCAAAAACTGGGCCCCAAATCTTAGGGACCAGGGCTTGCGATTTGACCTTTTGGAGCAAAAACCGGGCCCAAAATCTTAGGGACCAGGGCTTGCGATGCTACTCTTTGGAGCAAAAAATGCGCCCAAAATCTTAAGGACCAGGGCTTGCGATTTGACTCTTTGGAGCAAAAACTGGGCCCCAAATCTTAGGGACCAGGGCTTGCGATTTGACTCTTTGGAGCAAAAATTAAACCCAAAATCCTAGGGACCAGGGCTTTCGATTTGACTCTTTGGAGCAAAAACTGGGCCCAAGATCTTAGGGACCAGGGCTTGCGATGTCACTCTTTGGAGCAAAAAATGAACCCAAAATCTTAGGGACCAGGGCTTGCGATTTGACTCTTTTGAGCAAAACATGAACCCAAACTCTCAGGGACCAGGGCTTGCGATTTGACATTTTGGAGCAAAACATGAACCCAAACTCTCAGGGACCAGTGCTTGCGATTTGACCTTTTGGAGCAAAAACTGGGCCCAAAATCTTAAGGACCAGGGCTTGCGATTTGACTCTTTGGAGCAAAAATTAAACCCAAAATCTTAGGGACCAGGGCTTGCGATTTGACTCTTTGGAGCAAAAATTAAACCCAAAATCTTAGGGACCAGGGCTTGCGATGCTACTCTTTGGAGCAAAAAATGCGCCCAAAATCTGAAGGACCAGGGCTTGCGATTTGATTCTTTGGAGCAAAAACTGAGCCCCAAATCTTAGGGACCAGGGCTTGCGATTTGACTCTTTGGAGCAAAAATTAAACCCAAAATCTTAGGGACCAGGGCTTGCGATTTGACTCTTTGGAGCAACAACTGGGCCCAAGATCTTAGGGACCAGGGCTTGCGATGTCACTCTTTGGAGCAAAAAAATGAACCCAAACTCTCAGGGACCAGGGCTTGCGATTTGACATTTTGAAGCAAAACATGAACCCAAACTCTCAGGGACCAGTGCTTGCGATTTGACCTTTTGGAGCAAAAACTGGGCCCAAAATCTTATGGCTTGCGATTTGACTTTTTTGAGCAAAAACTGGGCCCCAAATCTTAGGGACCAGGGCTTGCGATTTGACCTTTTGGAGCAAAAACTGGGCCCAAAATCTTAGGGACCAGGGCTTGCGATGCTACTCTTTGGAGCAAAAAATGCGCCCAAAATCTTAAGGACCAGGGCTTGCGATTTGACTCTTTGGAGCAAAAACTGGGCCCCAAATCTTAGGGACCAGGGCTTGCGATTTGACTCTTTGGAGCAAAAATTAAACCCAAAATCTTAGGGACCAGGGCTTGCGATGCTACTCTTTGGAGCAAAAAATGCGCCCAAAATCTTAAGGACCAGGGCTTGCGATTTGACTCTTTGGAGCAAAAACTGAGCCCCAAATCTTAGGGACCAGGGCTTGCGATTTGACTCTTTGGAGCAAAAATTAAACCCAAAATCTTAGGGACCAAGGCTTGCGATTTGACTCTTTGGAGCAAAAACTGGGCCCAAGATCTTAGGGACCAGGGCTTGCGATGTCACTCTTTGGAGCAAAAAATGAACCCAAAATCTTAGGGACCAGGGCTTGCGATTTAACTCTTTTGAGCAAAACATGAACCCAAACTCTCAGGGACCAGTGCTTGCGATTTGACCTTTTGGAGCAAAAACTGGGCCCAAAATCTTAGGG